CTGTGAACAGCCCATTAATCAGTGTGATGAGATTCGAAGGGCTTATATCAAATTAGGGCCTTATCAACCTAAACTTTTTGAGTATCCAAGGACTTTGTTCGGGCAACAAAGACGTCGATTTCAATATTCTTGGTTCTCACAATTTCCATGGTTAGAGTATTCTCCTACAACAGATAAGGCGTATTGTTTACCATGCTTTGTGTTTGAAAAGAATCCAGCAAATAGGTCTTCACTAATTATTGATGGGTTCAATAATTGGAAAAGAGTGAATGATGGAAAGAAATGTGCATTTTTGCAACATGTTGGAGGTCAATCTTCACCACATAACACTTGTGTAAGATGTGCTGATGATTTAATGAAATCATCTCAACATATTGAGAAAGTTATTCACAAACAACCAAAAGAGCAAATTTGGAAGAATTGGTTATGGCTAAAGGCAACAATTGAGAGTGTTCGGTGGCTTACATTTCAAGCATGTGCTTTTAGAGGTCATGATGAATCCATAGACTCAATGAATCGAGGAAATTTCATTGAATTGATAAAATATACAGCACATTGGAATGATAAAGTTGCTGAAGTTGTTTTAGAGAATGCCCCGAGAAATGCTAAATATACCTCACCATTGATTCAAAAGGAGATTTTGCATATTCTCGCTGACTAAGTGAGAACTAAAATTCGTGAGGAAGTTGGGGAATCAACTTATTGTATTCTGGTTGATGAAGCAAAAGATGAATCTAACAGAGAGCAAATGGCCATTGTTTTAAGATTTGTTGACAAGGATGGTTTTGTACAAGAACGTTTTTTTGAGATTGTGAGGGTTGAAGACACTAGTTCTTCAACACTTAAAAAAGAGATATCTCGAGTCCTAATTAATTGTGATCTCCAAATTAATAAAATGCGAGGTCCAGGATATGATGGTGCTAGCAATATGCGAGGTGCTTGGAATGGATTACAAGCATTATTTCTTAGAGATTGCCCTTATGCATATTATGTACATTGTTTTGCTTACATACTACAATTAGCATTAGTTGCAGCAGCAAAAGATGTGGCTCCTATTTGGCTATTCTTTTCAACCTTGAATTCCATTATCAATCTTATTACTGCTTCTCCTAAGCGCCATGGTGAATTACAATCTACTCAAGCAACTGATATTGCACATATGCTGGATACTGGTGAACGTGAGACAGGTAGAGGGGCTAATCAAATTGGTACCTTGCATCGGCCTGGAGCTACTCGTTGGGGTTCTCATTATGATTCTGTTTCGGACTTGATAGAAATGTATAATGCATCTTGTTCAGTGATTGAGACCTTAATTAAGGATGGAGCCACTAACTCTATACACGGGGAAGCTACTGGTACGTTCAAAGCGATGACATCTTTTGAGTTCATATTTATTTTGCATTTGTTGGAAAAAATGATGGGAGTTACTGATGGCCTTTGTCGAGCATTACAAAACAAATCTCAAGATATCTTGACTGCTATGAATTTAGTTCATAGTACAAAAGATGTTCTTAAGAAATTAAGATTGGATGGTTGGGATATTTTCTTTGAGAAAGTGGAATCATTTGCAAAAAAAACATGACATTGATATGCCAGATACGAATGCTCTTTACAAAATTGGTACAAGTCGTTCTTGTCAACAACGTGATGATATTACAGTTGAACATCACTACCGGGTTGATTTATTCAATGACACCATATATTATCAATTGGAAGAGTTAAACACTAGATTCAGTAAAGGAACAATAGAACTTCTTACTCTTAGCTCTGCTTTGGACCCTAGCAATGATTTTAAAGCATTTAAGATTGATGATATTTGCAAGCTTGTTGAGAAATTTTATCCAAGAGATTTCACTTCCAAAGACTTGCGTTTATTGAGGTATCAGCTAGAACTTTTTGAGTCTAAACTACATCTTGATATCTTCCAAAATATGTCTACTCTTTTTGAACTATGTCAACGATTAACTCAAACAATCAGAGCACAGACATATTATTTGATTAATAGGATGATTAGTTTAGTGTTAACTCTTCCAGTTTCTACGGTGACTATAGAACGAGCATTTTCAGCTATGAAACATATTAAAATTGTACTTCGTAACAAGATGGAGAATGAGTATTTGACAGATTCCCTTATTGTCTACATTGAAAAAGAACTTTCTATGGATATTGATTCATATTCAATAATCACATATTTGGAGAAACTCAAGGAGCGTAGGGTTCTACTTCACTAGGATGTTTGGCAATATGTGTTTAATTTGATGTTTGACAATGTGTTTAATTTTATGTTTTACATATATTATGTACTTCTTTGCATTATATTTGTTTGGTATGTGAATGAACTTGATTGTTTTAAGAAAAATAAGTAATATAACATGTCTCCCATAAGAGAAAAATATATATATTATATTAGCCCACCCCTACAAAAATTCTTGGTTCCGCCATTGCATGTTGTTGTGAAATTATCCGCACAAGTAATATAGAGATAAGTGAAGTGTCGTTCCCACGAAGACTATAATTTCCTTTTAAGTACAAATTATAATTAATTCATAAGTTTATTTAAACAATTAATTAATGAGAGTGATTGATTTATTAAACTAAATTAAAACAAATATGAAAAATAGCAATTTAATTAATGGTGGAAAATCAAGTTGATGATACACTAGAGCATCCAATTTCACCATAACCAATTCCACTTAAGTTCTATGAGAACCTACAAGAAAATTGAATGAGTCGTGTTAGTCTCTCTCGGGCACTCATTCAAGACATGGTATTTGTTACGAGAATTAAACACCAAACATCTCCTCTGGGTCTCCACTCGGATCATCAAATCAATTAAATATTGGCCAAATATCCAAAGCATTAAGAATAGTAACAAATACTCAACATGGATTAGTAATCAAAAATAAGTATTCATGGTTAGGCTACATCGTAGACCTAGCAAGGAAAATTAGTTCATGACAAAACAAAAGAATTGTTGTCATAAAACCAATTTGGTAGATAGATTTGATCTCTGGATTCTCCACAACAACACCTTCCTAGGCTCCAAAAGCACCGCGGCAACAACTTTTGGCTCTCTCTGATATATTTTGTGGGTGTATTGAAATATGGTGAAGAAGTATATGGTGTCAAGATGGTCCATAGAAAGAGCTTAAGGTGACCTTATATAGTTTAAAACGACTAAACCCTACTCTAAAAAGGTCTGGAAAAACTCTCCTAAAGCAAAACAAAATCCCAAAGAATTAAGGAAACAAACTAGGAAAGAATCCTTCTTTGACTTGGAAACACGTCAGCCAAATAGCACGCACGTTTTGGGGTCTTTCCACTTACTAGAAAATTCTGGAAAAATATGATAACTATAGCTTGATCTCTAAGCTTTCCAAACATATATCACATGCCACTCGGAAAAATTGGAAAAGTCTTCAAACCTTCAATCTTCCACAGCAGTGCAGTTCTAACAAGATTTCAACTTAGGCTGTCTTGACTTGCAAGTCTGGAGCATTTGGCTTAGTAGAAAATTATGAAACTTTGATATAATGATCTTCAATGTCTTAGCTTTCTTCTCTAATTGGCCTTGCGCTAAAATTCATTCGAAAAGTAAACTTTTAGTCAAAACCCTTCCGAGAGCGCAGAATAGCTGAAAATAAGGAAAGTAAGGTAATGATGTTATTTTTAATTAACTTTCCCTACAAAAACCAAATATAAGAGGTACACAAATATAGGAAATAATGCACTTATCACATGTCCCTTGCATAATTATAGACATCTCTCTTTACAAACCCAACATTTTCCAATCCCCTTACTTGCACCTCAAGAAAGCTTACCTGTTTATGTACAAGGATATTAACTTTGCTCATATGTACACTATAGACCTTTGTAGACTATGTTAAGATACGATGAGATCTCAATAGATAGAATTTATCAAATGTGGTCATTTCATGGTTGTGTACCTCATTGAAACCTACAACAATGTGCTTATTCTTGTCTTGTACCTTCAAAATCTCAAGTTTAGCCTTGCAACCAGTTGGAGTACAACCTCGCTATCTTCTTTTACGACTAACATTGTTTGTCAACGAATACCTTTGTTTACAACATACATATTCTTTCCTTGTTACCTGTCCTGTTAATGTGCTTGTTCTCGTTGTAGAACACCGAATGCTGAATCCGACTTTCGCGGCATACATATTATAGAACTTGAACACATCCTCACAACAATCAAATTCAAGTCTCATTTTTTATTTGAACTCCAAATTTACTTCCAGTATCACCTGCCTTTCACACTCCATTTCACAATTTTTATAATTTAACCCTAAATATCACATCACCACCATCATAACATCATTGGCACATGCTTTCAAGGAGCATTCAAATATATATTAACCATAACACAATATGCAAATGAGTCTTTAGAGAAACATTAAAGATACAGGATCTTCAAATATATATTAACCAAATAAATATTATATGAAAACTAAAAACACTGAAATATACATTTATATATATATATATATATTTTTTACAGATAAATAAACGAAATATAGTATGAAACATTAGTAAATAAGTATTCTACACACACGAATCAGTTTTGAGTCTCTCATGAAACATTAAAAAACCTCCATACAAACTAACGTAACTCATGCTGATGTCCAATACTAAAATTGACAAATACAGTATATCACTTACCTCGTAAGTGATTTCAAACTTCAAAATTTCAACAAATATGACAATGTTGCCCTTTTAGATCTGGGCGTCAACCCCAAAAACATTTGACCTTCCTCAACCCCTGTTTTGACCGTGCTCAAGGATTTCAAAACCAAGATAACATAACCACAAGGGTCGCAGTCACCAGTTTCCAACTCAACGCCAGTTTTGACATTGCTCAAGGATTGACGAATGTTTTGACTCGAAAGACCAAACCACAAAGATGAAACTATAAAATCAAAGATTGCTTTGTTTCGCCTGAATGATCAAGCCAAAAAGATTAGGGCACTCTTCAGTGTTCTTCCTCAAAGAGGATAAGGAATTATAGGGACGCTCTCTCTTCAGTGTTCATGTTTTTCCTCAAACATAATATCAAAGCAATTAAAAAAATTGGCCTCCTAATTGAACAAAGCGAACATCTGTTTTGGAGGGGACGTTTTGGAGGGAGGAGAGAGAAGAAGGCCTCATTCTAATACAACAGTTTCACTTACCATTGCTTTTCACGCAACCGTTAAATTAGATTCAATGGTGTTCTCATGTAATATTCTCATATATGTGTTCTCACTAAATAACCACCCAAAAAATAAAACCCTATTTATGAATAAGAACATGGAAGACTGTGTTTACAGGTTCAATGGATATATTGACCGTTTTCTTCTTCTTGAACTTGGTGTTTTGCTATTTTTAACTTTTTTCGGTTTTGTGGTACCAAACATATTTAGTGATGTGTGCAGAGCTTGACTTAGTAATATTTTGCAACAATTCTTAAATTCTTCTAAGTGGGCCAGGCCAAATTCGTGTCGAGCTCGGGCCAAGCAAGATTCATATTGGGTTGCAAGCCTGCTCAGTCCATTGGACCTAATTTTTTTATTCCAACACGACCCATTAATATTTGTACTCGTACTATGCCCCATTTAAACAAGCTGGACTCGTACCGTACTGGGTTGGCCCGTCTTGTTTGACACCTCTAACCGTGCTCCAGTATTGTATAGATTTTTGAACAACTTTCCTAATTAATTAATAAAAGGACACGTGTGGAAAGCTGGCGCATAGGTTTTGCCATGCTGTGCGTTCTCGGTTTCATCGACCTGATGCTGAGGCTGAGCTGATTGTTATGTCATTGTTACGAGTCTTTGATTGTTTGAAAACATTTGCAGTTTTTGCCTCTGAAGCTCTAAAGAAGAATGGCGTCGTCTCTAGCGACAACCTCGGCGGCTGCAACGACCAGCACAAATTTGGCTCATTATAAAACCAATAACAATACTTACAAGCACAATTGTTTATCTAATGTCTCCTTTGGTCTCTCTCCCAAGCCTAAGCTCCGATTCTTCTCCAAGGTATTCCTCTGTCTCCCTGAAATTTGATTTTCTTGTTTTTTCTCAGCTACATTTTGTTTTCCGGGAAAATGCGGGAACGAAAGATTAAGAATTTTATCAATTATTTGCAATTTTGTATTATTGGTTGAGTCATTTCTATATTCTTGTGCAAGGTGGTTTTGTTGTTTCAGTTCAGGAATTGTGTATTAATTCAAAATTTCATATACGAGGAACTTTTAATAAACACGAAATTGTTTAGAAATAAAAATACCCAAAGTTTAGCTTCCTCAATGGCCATTTCTGAAAGAAATTATAAATAAATAAAAAGCTAACTTTAACAAAAATTAATACTTTAACACCTTGGTTTAGTACTTAAACGAATACTACCAAATACCCAGTTGGAACTTTTTTATTTTCTGGGGAAATTGTTAGTCTTTTGACTTTTCTATTGCTTGGAAATTTAAAGGTGAAGTTGACGACTGTTATGTTTACTCCAATGTATCGACTTACTTATTTCGATGGTCGCAGCTGTTTGTTTACTCCAATGTATTTACCCCTCATTCATTCTGAGTTGTTGATTTTTATGTCAATCACATATGGATTGGTTCTTGGACGTGCTCCATTTTAATACATCGTTGAAATTGTCCAAATAATCAATTCAAATGGTTGATCTGTGTTATGATGTATGCAAATGTGTTATTTGAACCTAAGAAATGAAGGAAATGGTATTTACTTTCTTTTATGTTAGAACTTCAATGTTAATAATCTGCCAGATCACATCATGCAATGGCGTTTCCTCAGATCCTTTGATTTATTATGTTACTTACCCTTGATAGTGATTTTGTTAGAATGGATTTTCCAACTTTGAGTTATATGGGATCCCTGGTGGGTTATTGGATCCTCTTCATCCATTGAAATGTGAGGGGTGAAGAGGTGAGAGACTGTGAGAGATGAGACAGAGAGAGGGGATGTTCTCTATCAAAAATGGATACCGACTGACTAGTGGAAGATGAATGTAGTTACTCGGGGTCTAGAGTAGTTCTACTACCTGAAGTTGGTATTTGAATGTGGATGCCTGGAGCTCTGTGTTTACTACGGTGTACGTGTTCTTGGTATGGTAGTTGGGTTTCGTTTGGAGAGGGGGAATTGGCAATGGTGTGGGTTGCAGGAATGTGAGAGGAGTGGTTTTGGAGGTGGTACTGTGGCCAATGCTGACGGGGATGGCACAGCTGGGATCCTTGGGAAATGTGGGGTGACAGAGAGGGGAAGAGGGAGGAAGAACCTGGGGATATTTTTTATTTTTGAATTATTATTATCTATATATAAGTTTTTTTTTACACATGGCAAACATTTTTGCAAAATAGTAAGTACCGTTCGTGCCATGTCATTGTTTTGACAGATTCGTTAATGGACTTGACGGTGTAAGGCAAAATAAGATGCCAAGAGTCAATCGATGGGGCAAGGTGTGTCATTGTGACTTTCAAGGGGCAATGTGGGGTTTGACCATACTTTGAGGAGGCACTAGAGTATTTAAGCTTTCTGAGTCTTCTTAGTAGCTGATAGATTTTTGTGAATAGAAAACCTCTCCCTTGATCTGCTGACAAAAGATGATTCTCAACTTCCAAATTATGTGAAGTAGCAGAATTTTTTCAGTCCTGCTTTGTTAGCAATTTTTAAACCATAATTTAGACTGGATTGGTGAGTTTGAATCTTGAATAATAGGGAGATTCTCTCTCTCTCTCTCTCTCTCTCTCTCTCTCTCTCTCTCTATATATATATATTTATCAATCCTCTTCTATTGAGGGATCCCTCAAATAATTTTATTTGAGGGACACCCTTTGGGGTTCCCTACTAATTCTTTTTCAATGATCCAAACAATCTATTTTTTAAGTCTACATTCATAGATCATTCTCGCAAAAAATTAGACAAATCGGAAACCGTTTTGACATCCAAATGTGTCTTACAAAATGAATGAATACGGTGCTTCAAGAAAGTACTAAAATTTCAATAACTCAATTGAGTGGTCAAATGATATTAGATTCGAGTGATTTTTTGTAGAGATGATCTTTGAATGATTATTTAAAAAATAGATGGTTTGGATTAGTGAAATACAATGCGGAGTGGGCCCTACAAGGGTTTCCCTCAAATAAGCCCTAAACCCTAAACCCTCAAATAACTTATTTGAGGGATCCCTCAATGGAAGCTCTCTGTGTATGTATGTATGTATGTATATATATATATATATATTATCTATCTATCTATCTATCTCTCTCTCTGTCTGTCTGTGTGTGTGTGTGTGTCACAGTCGCACACAAAACCAATCAATCTATCAACATTAAGTGCCCTTCTTTGTCAGAAGTTGTTGTCTTTAGTTTTGCAGTGATACATGTTGTATTTGGTTTGTTTTTTGAACCTCATCAGACTTTTGAGTCATCTTCTTTTGCTGTTTTACCTGAGAAATTTTGCTTTTCACAGAATGTGAAAGCACTGTTATTTTTTTATTGGGGATTATTTACATATATGTGACAAATAAGTTTTTCTTTTCACAGAGTATGAAAGTACAGTTTTTTTATTGGGGATTATATGCATATATGTCTGTGTGCTTCTTTTTTTTTTTTTTACTCTGGTCAATTTTAATCATGTGGAATAATGAAGTTTGAAGCTGGTCCAAATGTTAGGGTTGGCAGCCTAGTCGGAACTGTTCCACTGTGGTGAAAGGTCAATTGGATGAGGTAAGGTTCTTTAAATGGTTTTCGTTAGAGGATCACTTTTCAAATTTTCTTTCCTTCCTGGACATGCTCCTTGGATCATCTGTTGCCTTCAAGGTGGATGGATCATCCAATGTTGCAGCTACGCCCCCAAGAGAATTGGAGCTTCCAGGCCAGGAGTCCAAGGATCGAAAGACATCGAATGAGTCTTGTCCTGCAGTTTTGGATACAGAGGAATCAATATCTGAATTCATAGCTCAAGTTGCAAGTCTTGTAAAGTGAGCAACCCCCATCTTCAGTTCTTTATTAGTTTAACCATCTGATCTGAAGTGTGGTTGGATAATATCATCTTGATTCTTGTTTCTGGATTGTAGGCTTGTTGACTCAAGAGACATTGTTGAGCTGCAGCTGAAACAGCTTGACTTTGAAGTCATAATTCGTAAAAAGGAAGCCTTGCCTCAACCTCTGGTACCTGCTCCAGTGCCTATGATGCAAGCAGCCCCTCCTCCAGTTGCTCCAGCGGCTCCTGCCTCTTCGTCGGCCCCATCATCTCCTCCAGCAACTTTCCCTGCACCATCTTCACCTAATGCTAAGTCAGCCAAAACATCACTGCCCCCTCTTAAATGTCCTATGGCAGGGACATTCTATCGAAGCCCGGCACCTGGTGAACCACCACTTGTGAAGGTTTTTCTTCTCTACTTAGAATTTTACTTGCAGCCTATGTTCCTTAGTGGTTGCTTAAGTGTTTTTGTTGCTGCATTACTTTTTTTGGTCTTACATGAAAACTTTCCCAATAGGTTGGGGACAAAATACAGAAGGGACAAGTCTTGTGTATCATTGAGGCCATGAAATTGATGAACGAGATAGAAGTAAGTTTTTCTTCTACCGGATCTCTTATGTTCTTGGCACATCACAATAATTAGATACTACTTTCTAAGATGACTTGTTTATTTCCACTGCTGCTTGTAACCACCCTCTCTTTGCTCTTTGTTTAACTTTTCAATTACATGATATAATGTTTTTTTTTAATAAAAGAATTCATATATGACTATAAATTAGCTTTCACACTGCACCTGTTTTTTGTTTTATTTCTCAGCTCTCCTTTCTTGCAAGTGTATTTTTAAGTTGCAACAGTCTATTATTTATGTTAATCAATGTCTATAAGCATGATAATTTTCTTGTGTCTCTCACCATATCTGCTTAATCAATCAAAGAAAAAATATATTCAGTCAGTAATGTGGATTGAGTGATATATTTTCTTCAGGCTGATCAATCTGGAACCGTAGTTGAGATCCTCGTGGAGGATGGGAAACCTGTTAGTGTCGACACGGTGAGTTCTCTTGGACATCCTTGAGAAATGATCACATGAAGATATCCTATAACATTATCTTGTCTTCTTTTGATTTCTTGCAGCCACTGTTTGCCATCCAACCCTAGAGCATAATGGTTGAGCATGTAAGTACGCGAAGGTCTGAGAGAAGGTCAAGAGACGGGTGCATTACTTTGAAATATTGTGTTGTGGCACTGTTTTGATACGGTAGAACGTTTTTGTTGGCTTTAAAAGTAGGTAAAGTTTCGATTGTCTATTCTACGAATATCTCTTACCATAGCTGATAATGTTCTCTACACTGGGCTATTTGTCCTGTTTTTGTTCTCTTTTTCTTTGTGTATATATTGGCTGGGACAATGCAATTCTTGATGCTTTTGTAATAAAATAATGTATTAGCTTATTGCTCGTATTTAAGTTGTGACGTAACATGACAATTTATCCCTAAAGCTATTGGTGGCTCATCTTTCTTTTACTGATTCTTGAACTGGAGAAATTATACAATACTACCGTAGCACCAGCTGGCGTTGCTGAGTGGTACTACGGTCCAATTAGATTCAGCCATGTGTACAGCTTATACAGTCGGCAACAAACTTAATAGACTGCCGTTAACCCTTAACCACCGCCATCGCTGCAAATTAGAAATACCCGAGACTAAATTCTCTGTGGGCTCAGACCAAAAAATATATATATATATCTGTGGGCTGCGCTGCCTGAGAAGTTGACCCAAACTCGCCGCCAAAATTAACTGCTCACCGATACCCATCGCAGACTCGGGAGTTTATCAAGTCACTTGCGCCAATTGCTACTGATTTCGGGTCTGAATTTATGCAGTTTTTGGGTTCCAGCGCCTCCGCCATTGCTCCGATGAGGTCTCTTCGAGATTTTTTTCATTTTCTCCCATAAGCTATGGCTGAAATTTGTTAAAACGACTGTGGGGGTGGATACAACGCTGAAAATCTTGCCGTTTTTTTTTTTTTTTGGTCGAAAATCTTGCCGTTGAATATCCCCTTTAAAATTGACCCCTTCGCCTCCCACATCAGGCTCAAAGCCTTTGCCTTTTTGGGTAATGACCCAATGTCAAATAATTTTGTTGCACAGCAATTGGTCAAAGAATATTATTGCATAGAAATTTGTTGATCTAATCTTAGATCTGAAATATTGACGCAATCAGGGTCTAAAAGCCAGCGTTGGGAGGACTTCAAGCTTTTGGGTGGGCATAACCACATGTTGTTTTTTTAACGTCGGCACTAACGGCAAAACTTTATGGTTCTGTTGACATGTCTAAGTTGTACACATGGCTTAATCTTATTGGATCGTAGTACCACTCAGCAACGCCAGCTGGTGCTACGGTACTATTGTATAATTTCAACCACAAACACAAAGGCCACAAAGGCCAATACGACCCACAACGAGTTTACAAACATTACCCACAAAGGGGTGTGCGAATACAAACACTATCTACAAAGGTTAACGAATTGGAGGGATCCATCGGAAACACTAATCATATCACGTCGAGCATAAACCAGTCCAGCATACCTCCATTCTCCCACAGAGAAACAAGAAACACGCATTAACCCCGAAAGAGTTGAAACTGTTGTTACAATAATTAGACAAGCCAGACTAACCCAAAGTTGGCTTAACTTTCTTCAGCATGAGGTTTTTCCATAACATGTTTTCTGTTTGATGCCAAAGATTGGTGTGTTGAACCCTAATCTAACCAGCCTCAAAGATAGGCCAGTAGATTGTTTTGCATGGGAGCGTGTCACTATAAAGCATTGCAAAGAGTCCCAGAGACTGAGAAATTAAATAACATTTGTATTACATAACATGACATTTAAACCAAACCATTGTGCTACGTGTGGAAAACTGTCGCAAATTATTTTTTTTTCTATGCGTTGAGAACTTTAATATTTATCTAGTAAAAAAAAAAAAGGAGGATTGAAATTTGATTGTAAAGCAAAACAAGCAAGATGAACTGAAAACACGCATGAAATTTAATTTGATTCGATTCATAGGTAAAGGGATTAATTGTTTGCTTCAACTCAGTAAATAACATAAATATAATGTAATCTAGAGGCAGAAATACTATATTCAAGCCGAAAAAAGGTCTTCTCGCTCGGGTCTTCAAAGAACAACTGGGATGGTATGTCAATTGGAAATCATACTAGCAAGATGGCAGAGCAATCTGAAAAGTTAGCAATCTGAAAAGCTGTGATGAAAAGGAGTTGTCAACTTGAGATCTCTAAACCATAAGTTGAAATCTGTTTTGGATCAGTTCTAGGATCAATGGCGTGATATTTATTGAGATAATTGTGTAGAGGGAAATAGTTGCTGGCTTAAACATCATATCCCTTTTTTTCTTGAAATATTTTAAGAAATATTTTATTGCTTAGAGTTTTGAGCTTTGAAGTAACTAAGTTATTTTACAAGGAGAGAAACGTGCCCATAAAACTTGTCTATTGTTAAATCCTGCAGCGTTGAGAGCAAAGTTTTAGGGTGAGCATAGAATCACCCTTTCAGTAATGATACAAAGCTTTGCTTCAAGCAGTTAGCTTTTTTGAGAGGGTTGTTCAAGAGCCTTCACGGTCTCATACACAGCTGAAAAGTCAAGGTCCCCAAGCCCCATGCTTCTTGCCTTCTTGAAAGCCTAAGATACATGTAAATAACAAATATTTTAGTTCTGATATCAATCTTTTTCCACTAGAAATAGTTTCCAAAACTCATTTCTTTCCAACAAATAAAAATACTGTACTATGACTTCAAATCTCATTGCTTCAAGATAAACTGCAAGTAGTTCAAAGTATAAACACATGAGATTTCAATTTAAACGACGGATACCAACACTATCAAGTATTGACAAACACTTAAAAAAAAAAAAAACCAATTGGCAGTATGTTGAATTTAAAGGGTTTTCGAGATAAGTTGCTCACCTTTGAGAATTTACAATATATGATAAGTTATCATGAAAGTTATGGAGTCTTTGTTAATGGTTCTTGCATAAAAGTTATCATTAATGGAAGAAAATTGTTCAGCAAGAGGTCAAAGATTAAGTAGACAGAAATCTGGAATATGTTGTCCAATTTGAGTATCACATGTGGATATTGTTCAGCACTTCGAATAAACTCCTGTGAAAATCACATGTTTCTTTAGGCACTTACAAGAAATGGATTTATTATGGATTTTCAAAATTAGGTTGGCGTCACTGATATTTTCTGACAAACTAACTAAGAAGGATTGTCAAAGACTAGATGCTTGTTTTCAGAGAGAGTGATAATAAGGAACAAGTTGTCGAATCAATGTCTAAGCTCACTTAGTTATATTGTGATAGTAAGGGAGCCATCTTCTTTTGCAAGAAAAATACAAGATCAACTGGAGTTAAGCATGATGATGTCAAGTACCTGCTAGTGAAAGAGAAAGTAGAGGGACAAACTTGTGTAGATTACATCAACACAGGTGATATGATCCACTGATCCGCGTTTGTATTATATTATTTTTCTAGATCACTTTTCTTTTCAGTTATGAATACATGGATATGATAGGATTCTTATCCATGATAGGATTCTTATGTTTGTTTTAAAGTTTTACAATGGATAAAGTTAAGGTACAGTTCTATTTACACTTTTTTGCTACATTGTTAAGGTTGTCTTTATTGACTTTAAGGATTTCTCATAAAGCATTAAGGATAGATCATATTGTGATCATAAACTGGACTATATACTAAGTGTATTAACCTTCACATCAAGATCACGTATCATATAACTCAGACCATAACTTGATGGTACTTTGTGGATATTTGACTATAGAGTAGTATTGTCTACTTGATAAGAGATTACTACTATCTATAATCCTATGAGTTGACAATATTTGACACAAGTTTGAGATAAATATTGTTATCAAACTACTTCCAAAGTTGTGTGAATAAGGATATATTGATTCTTGATCTTAAAGATGGTTCTTGTATAGATGTGGCACCCAAGTGGGAGCATGTAGCACTTAATTTGAGCTTGCATCTATCTATCTAGGAATCTTAATTGCTTAAGGATAAAAGAAAATGAAAATTTATTTGGTGATCCAGTTACTTAAGGTGAAGTAAAGTCCTAAAACGATAGGGACATCCATCCTACTAGGTTGTGGATGATGGATGGTGATAAGGATAAGTGTTAAGGTTTTCTTTATGGCAAGAAAACCTAATACTCACACCTATAAATATAAGATTTAGATCCCCCCCCTCTTATACACTACACAAGCACAAAATACCTACCCCATATAAGTGTGCATGAGGAGTGTAGAGAGAGAGGAAGATCTTTGGCCCTTGCCGTGAATCTCCAATGGCTTCTATGGCTTCTCGAGGTTAATACCTTTTGTATGTGTATAACAGAAATCTTACAAGACTGACTTTGTAGACAGTTATCAAAGAAGGAATGAAGAGCATAACCTCGTTAGCCGCAGCAGCTACTGGCATTGATGTAGCAGTTTCATCCCCAAGGGCAAGAGCCAATCTCATGTCTTTCTGCTGATGTTTTAAAGGAAATGCAGGAGAGTGACTGCCCTGAATCATAGTGGGTCCTTTCATTCTAAACATTGGATTTGCAATTCCACCCAGATCCTGCCAGTATAAATTCATAAATGGTAAGAGAATCCATTACCAGTAAAAGAAAGTCTACGTTGTTACTCACCAATACATCAAGAAGAACACTAGGATCCAGTCCACTTCTTCCAGCAAGAACAAGTCCCTCAGAGAATGCATTGATCATGCTGCAAGGGAGAGAACAGCACAATATGAAATCATGATTGCTTTGGTTGTATGAACATACATACATACAATATGAGAAGGAACAAGTTCATTATTATGTGATGTCAACTTGCATTAGATTTTTTCTAATCTTTAATTACTATTCTTTTATTAGGCAGTAAGATGCTCCATCTATGTAAAAGCACATATAAATACTCAAGCCAGATATGTAAATACTGAAATATTCAAATAGGAGAAAAAACTTTTGAAACTAAATATCTTTACATTGTCAAAATAAGAGATGCTCCATTGCAAGAAAAGGATTCATGTTAACTGAAATTTGTCAAAGCACTCGGTAGATTACCACAGAATGAATAACATCACATAATATATCAACCTTATTCCATGAGCATGAAAACATTTTTAAACAAGTTGATGCATTCTTAAAAGGAATAGGCCAGGATATAGTATGAGACAGTATTAGATCTGACATTGTGAATACTGCTTCTGAACTTCCAACACAATATTAGTGTATCATATTTTCCTACTAGAAAAGACAGCTGCAAAAACGAGTCTCCATTGTAATATGGATATTTGTGAG